AACAAAGCAAATCAACAAAAAATGTAGAAACGTTTCGTCTCTCATCCGAGAGACTTCCTCAGTCTGAGGAGCAGTTTGCTGGTTGATCCACTCTGAGAAGGTGCTATTTAAGAGACTGAGCTGAATACAGCTCCTCAGACTGAGGAAGTCTCTTGGATGAGAGACGAAACGTTTCTACATTTTTTGTTGATTTGCTTTGTTTTGTTTTTTTGAATGTCCAGAGGACCAGATTTAACTTTTTTAGATTAATGTGCAATATATATCATGTGCATTTGAGCTACTGTTACTACCTTGAAATACTTACTCATACAAATGCATCTTAATTGCACTGTTACATTATACCACGTTGTTTCCTATATTTGTTTTGGACCTTGTAAATAATATTACTTTTTCACTTTTTGGTACTTTGTACCCTTATTGCATGTTTAGTATTTTTTTTAATTTTTTTTCTTTAACTTTTTTTTAGTGAGTCAAATTAGTTCTTCGCATCCCGAACATTTAATTGCATTGTTGACTTTGTGTTAATCTGCATATGACAAATAAACAACATAACATAAAAGTACTGCATATTATGTGACGATATATAAGCAGATTCATGTTTTGTTGCCAACATTTACAAGTCGTTTGTTTACATTTGGACAGTTACAGCAGATTAGAGTCAGTAAAATAATCCACGGAAGTCAGAGGGAGAATAGTGGCGTCAGAGACACCAGGTCCAAAGTGAAAGAGTAAAGTTCTTCTTCTCTCTTCTTCTGTAAATCTTCAGGTCTCTCTTGTAAATGAGTCCTCGTGACTCAGCGGCACAAACCTGTTTAAATAAAGTTTGAATGAAAGAATGAAAATAAACGGTGACCAAAAGCTCCAAGTAAGAGATTGTGACATGGGCAGAGTCATTTCTGGAGCACAGATCGAGCGGTGGAGAGCGTTAAAGCAAAACTTGGAGCTAAGATTATGAAAAGACCCGCGCGAGATTTTTTAAAACACTTTATTTATGATTTTCAAGTAAATTTATATAAAAAAATACAAAGACAAAACAAACCCAAAAAAGTAAATAAAATATAAAGTGAAGAGAACATAACCAATAGATACTTAAATAAATGAAAACTTTGGGCAAAGTTCACAGCTGTATTACCTCCTCATCTGTCCATCTGATCAAGAAGACACTTGGATCATCTGGCTGAATAAAAGGAGCATCGTTGGTCTTTTATATGTTCCAGCACTGGATTCCAGATCCTGGAAAACTTCAGAATGTAACCAGAAAGTTCATATCTCCGTCTTTCCACATGCAGAATACTTATGAGTTCAGTCAACAGGGCTCAAACTTGGGGCTAAATCAGACTTCCACGGTTTCAGAACACACCTTTTCGCCAAGGGCGTCAGAAGCATCCGTAATGTGGGGGGGCACAACGATGTGTGTAGGTGTGTGTGCGCACAAAAGTAATGTACACTAATGTACAAAAAAGCAACATTTCACCTGGATTTCCTTTAATTCCATTTAAAACATGTTTCTCACCAAGTTTGTGTAAATTCAGCTGTGGGTTTTAAAGACATTTTAACTTTAATACACTTTAACACAGAGCGTCAGGTCGACACTATTTGTGTTTATAGAGAAATAAAAAACATCACTGGACTTTTTTACTTGTGTTCAACACGACTCATCTAAATGATGTTTCTCGTGAAGCTTGAGGACAATAAGGTGTGGGGGTTTAAAGACATTTCAACTTTAATGCACCTGAACACACAGAGTCTCTTCCACCTGCAGAGTCTCACAGAGTCACAGTTACTGCTAAGCTAACATGCTACAGACGTAGCTCCTCTCAAACATCCTCCTAACATGAATATATGTTGATGATCAACCCCCTGGTCAACAACTGCCCACACTAAGCTGCTAAACTGGTGAGTGAGGAACACAGAGGTGTCTCCATCTCCTGCACCTGTGCACGTTTTCTACCGAAGCAGGAGACTCAGCAGCAGCAGCACAGTTTCTGCTCTGTGTGTAGAGGTGGAGGTAACCTGGAAAACCTGGAGTGGAGTTTTATTAGATTTAATATTCTCCCATTAATCAAGTGGAATGGATCCGTTCACGAAGAAAGAGAAACCGCGCCGCCTGAACTAATGTTTCATAGTAAAAGTGGGGGGGTCCAAATGAACGTTTTTTTAATGTGGGGGGGACTTGTCCCCTTCACATATAATGGTTGTGATGCCTATGCTTTTCGCAATCATCATACAAAAAGTTAAAGCAATTCGCACGTTATAATCTGTTTTTTCGGGGTGTTGGAGTATCCCTGCAGAGCAGTTTCAGGATCAGGTGTGACAGTGATGTTAAAGACAGATGGAAACCATTGAAAGATACAAGACCAAAAATTATGTACATTTGGACAAAACCACCAAAGGTGAGCTCGAGTGCCTTCTGCTGCCTGACATCTGCTACAAAGTGAAGAAAGGTTAGGAAAATGTTATTTAATTTAGTTTTAGAATAATGTAATCTATGAAATACTTTATACTGGATCAGTTGAAGCCTGGCATTAATTGAACAAGACTTGCTATTCGTTAATATTTAATTCCATGTTTCATCCTTAATCAGGTCTCTCTTGTAAATGAGTCCTCGAGGCTCAATGGGATTTACCTGTATAAATAAAGGTTGATTGATTAATCTCAGTAGCAAGCTCACCTTCCCCGGCTTTTTTAATTTTACTCGTAGAAGAATCTAATGTACTTGAGAAGAAGCGAACCAGCTCAGAGATCAAATGTTTGGCTTCAGGGGGGCCTAGGAGAGATTTTAACAATATTTTATTCTCCGGTGGTAATTTATATGACTTTATAGTCTGTTGGACATAATGTCTCAGTTGTAAATACCTAAAAAACTGAGATTTTAAAATAGAAAATTTGGATTGCAATTGTTCAAAGGAGCTTAAATGTCTGTCAACATAAAGATCCTCTAAACAGACAATACCCATACAGCTCCACTCTCTAAAGGCAGTATCTGTAAGAGATGGCAAAAAGTCATGGTTCTGCCAAATTGGAGCATGAACCGTAATGTGTGGGAGTGCACAGTGTTTTCTCGTATGATTCCAGATCTTCTAGGTATTTAACAAAGTGAAATGATCCTTCCTATAGACCGCAGGGAGGCCTTGGGGATGAAAAGAGGAGCGCAGGAAGAGAAGTCTTGTGGGTTAGGTTTTTTCAATGGTTAGCCAAGAAGGTGGGATAAACCTGTCCCCTTCTCAAAGCCATATTGCCAGTACACCATAGCTCTGACATTGGCGGCCCAGTATTAGTGCAAAAAACAAGGCAAACCCAAACCCCCACAATCTCTTGATTTTTGGAGATGACTTTTAGCGATCCTATGTGTTTTGTACCCCGAGACAAATGGTATGATAATAGAATCTAAAAGTTTAAAAAAGATTTAGGTATGAAGAGAGGAATGTTCTGAAATAAATACAAAAATCGCAGTAGTGAAACCATCTTGAGAGCATTTACACGTCCAATCAAGGATAAAGGCAGTTTTCTCCATTTTTCTATGTTCTCCTTGAGTTTGGTCAATTTCTCTGTAAAATTTAGTTTGAAAAGGTCTTTTTTTTATTTTTAAATTTTGATACCCAAATATTAACGTATTCAGAATTTATCTTAAAAGGTGTAGTTGTCAGAAATAATGGATCCAGTTCATTAGCTATTGATATAAGCTCACTTTTCTGTCAGTTAATTGTATAACCAGATGTCTTTCCAAAAGAATTAACAAGCTGGATTAAATGTGGAATTGACTGCTTAGAGTCAAATATAAAAAGGGCCACATCATCCGCATATAAGGAGATTTTATGATCAACTCCACCCAATGTTATAGGTTTAATGAGGACATGGTCCCTTATACCAATTGCCAAGGGTTCGATGGATAAAGCAAAAAGAAGCGGCGAGAGGGGGCACCCCTGCCGCGTCCCTCTTTTCAAAGGGAAGGAGGGGGATCTATCTGAGTTAGTAACTACCGTGCTGTAGGTTGGGAGTACAGCATATGCACCCAGGATATCAAATACGAACCTAGACCAAATCTCTCCAGAACCTTCAAAAGATACTGCCATTCCACCTGGTTGAAAGCCTTCTCTGCATCTAGACACAGGATCCTTCTCTGTATCTAGACACAGGATCCTTCTCTGCATCTAGACACAGGATCCTTCTCTGCAGCTAGACACAGGATCCTTCTCTGCATCTAGACACAGGATCCTTCTCTGCATCTAGACACAGGATCCTTCTCTGCATCTAGACACAGGATCCTTCTCTGCATCTAGACACAGGATCCTTCTCTG